TCAGCCAAACAGAGGAGAACATACTAGTGTACAAACTGCAGACTGACATCAATAATGAGAACATAGCGAGGTCGTTGCTTTCAGCTACTAGTCCAGAGAAGAATATCATACAAATTAACACAAGGTGAATTACTGTGCAGCAAATCAGGGTCTCCAGGAGAAGCTTCAGCGGCTGCTTGATCCTTTCTCCATGAAGCGGACAGACCAGCGTAAAGATGAAAAATCCATTAGCTATGATGTTGACAAAAACAAGAGGGACATTAATTAGGACACACGTTAGATAGTTCATCTTTATTTTCTTTGATGCTTAGGTTTTGGTGTTTTTCTTCCTTGTGGTTCTCTAATGGATACAGTACAGTCAGTGTGGCACTCCACCTCTGTGCAATGTAGCAAATATGTTTGTGCATTTGCATCACATGCAAATTAGAATACGCAAATAAAGCATTTTACTGTGAAATCCCATAGACAAATTAGCCCATTATGTTTTTATCCTATGTACTGAAAGGTTCTACACATGATTATTTGTGAATGTGTCTATGAAAATAGTTGTCCAAGCACAATGATTTATGTTTACAATTTTAACATTTTTCATAAAACTAGAAAGACTGGGCATCAACACGGTAGCAGGATCAAAAGAGGTTAAAGGACCAACAACAGGAAATTGTCCTGAATCTCGGGGTCTGAGTCTGAATTGGCACAACTGCACCCAGATGTGACAGCAATAGCAAAAAAAAAAGACTAAAGGAGGGTTGTTTTTTTTTTAGTTATTGAATATTATGCATACTGTAGCATCACAGAAATTATTTAAGCTACAAAGAGGATATATATGGCTCACACATGTCATTAATGCTTAGATACATTCTTCACGTATATATCTTTGATTGCAATATACCTGACAGATCAGGCAGGTACGTAGTCAGCTTTAAGCATTTGATGGTAGTGTCTTAAATATGATTTGGAGGATTTATTGAATAAATATGACAAATGAAAATTCTGTGCTATACTTTACTTTATAAGCCTGATTGTAACTCGAACCTGCAGCGCTAACCATGCTGCCGTAGTAGTGAGCAAACTTCAGATCAACACCATATGTGAGGCTATTGTGAAATTCGAGTAGTTTGCTGTGAGCTTAGAATAGAACACCACCATAGATGACACCAGCAAAGTTGTTATGCAACAAACCAAGAAGCACAGGACTACTGTATCTGTCTAACTTATGATTGATCCTTTCTAATTGAAGTGGACAGACCATAAGATGCAAAATATATTTACCACAATATTGCAAATAATGAAAGGCCTGTTAATTGGGGAACAGACCAGAATGCCCATCGTTGTTGATTAAGCTGATGAAAACACACCAGTGTTGAAACTTCTGTCTGATTGCACTACAGCCTGCAACGCAGTCAGTGTTCATTACTCCTTTTTTCCCTATAACGTTTCTTTTTTTTCTTATGTGCACTTGTTATTATCTTGTTCAAACAACTTATTTATCTTTTGGGAACATGTTATTTGTCTACCTAAGTTTATGAGCATGCTAAGACTGTTCATGAAACCCACAGGAATAAGTTACATTAATACTGATTTCCAGGTGTATTTGAAACGTGGAAGTGTTTATTGCTTCAGGCCTATTTGAACAGTTTAGTTTTTTGCTAGAAGCTGGAATTACATAATTATTCAGCTATTGTCTGGTGCTGTCATGTTAACTTCTGTGTACTTCTGTGTAAGGGAGTTTTTCCTCCCCACTGTCACCAAGTGCTTGCTCAAGGGGGATTTGTTGGGTTTTCCCTATGTAATAATAGTGATAACAGTAAGGTCTAGACCTTACTTTGTAAAGTGTCCTGAGATGACTTTTGTTGTGATTTGGTGCTATACAAATAAAATTTGATTTGATTTGATTTGATTTGTACTTGCTCCCACAAGACAAACAACCTGTTTGCACAAGATAATATCTTATCATAGACTGGCATTTGTTAGATGTAAATCACATCAGAACAGCACGTTCTTGCTGTTTTAGGATAAGCAGAAGCTGGGAGAAAGACTGGGAGCAGGAGGCAACAGCTAGCCTGGCTCTCTCTCCAGCATCTAAAACTCATGTATTAATATGTTGTACCTTGTTTCTTTAGTCCATTGACAAAGAGAAATGTAAAAGAGACAACCAGGGGTCGCTAACAAGTAGCAGGTAGAGGTGCTGGTGGCTACATGCAGCTCTGCAGCCTGCTTCCAGCATTTGTCCCTTTTTTACAAAAGAAAGAAGCATAATGGCTCTGTTCTATTCAGCTCAAACAAATTTGAGGCTATTTACAGTATTTGCATATTCTACTCTATAAATATGCTAAAAATATTTTATCTGTGCCCTAAAAAGCATTCAGCCTCGACCTTTTGTATAATGTACTTTTTGTATAATTGCTGGGTGAACTATTGAATCATGTTTTTACCATTTAAATATCAGCCTTGCTTTAATGTACCACTTAGAATATAATGTATTGTCCTTTTGGCTTCTTTTCAACTACTTATGCAGTCTGTCGTCACTGTTTTTAACTATTACATGTGAAAGAAAGGGTTTTTCATCTATTCGATTTGAAGTTGTTCCTTAAGTGTAGCTGCCAAACAATATTATGAACATACTATAAAGTGTTTAAAAGGACACCAGACAGGAAGTGCAGGCATTTAGTAACGTTTTGTTTTTAGGTAAACTTTTCCAGGGCTAACTGGGGGCTGGGACTTATCCCAGCATGCACTGGGTGACCAAAGTTAGTCACATATTGACAAGCCAGGGGCTACATCACCCGACAGGAAACTAAATTCAGTGGAGCAGAACAAATGGTAAGACCTTTATCCACAAAGGAGGAAATATCCACATAATTATTTTAATCTCTTGTATCTGTGACAGACTCAAGAGAAACAAAAGCATCAAAAATATATGGTTAAAAGCTCTAGAGAGCAGACGTGGTCCTCAGGTTGAGATTCATTCATAAGAAGAAATTCAAAGGCAAACTGCTGTGTAATATTTTACTTAAATAAGCACATCTGACTAAAACGCCAGAACAGAGCACATAAACACACAGAATGAAAACAGTCCAAAAAAATAATACAATGTCAGAAACAGCAAACTAATTATGATACATCTTTACATTCAAATACTCTCTGAAAGCTAAGATCCTTCTGGTCTACAAAATGACTCTTCACACACACACACACACACACACACACGCACACACACACACACACACACACACAACTCACAAATATCAATACATAAAATACACTTTCTCACGCTCTCAACCAAACACATACATAAAAACACAGGTTTAACCCTCTAATGCCGGTCAGTGTGTATGTATGATATGTCCATTGTTCAGGTCAAGGACATAAAGGGAATAAATAATTGTTGGCATCAAATTATAAAGTTGTCCCTCAGTTTCTGTTGATGTAAAACCAAACTTTGTTCAGCCTTCAGTGGTTTATTATTGTAATGCTCCATTCATACTTTATTGTCCAGATGGTTATCTAAGAAGAATCTGATCAAGTTGGAGCAGTGGCATGCACATAATCACATTTCAGCACTTTGGGGACCATACAGTATCAGCTTTGTTGCATATTCTTTGCTATACATCAAATATAGTTTACACACCGCTGTTTCCTTATTTTATTTAAATGTGTTTTCCTGTATTCCTGACAGCCAATAAGTCACGCTCATTCCTATGAGCACAGTGGATGGACACAGTGAACATCATATCTGGTCCTATTTATTACTGTGCACTAATGCAGTACATTTGTTTTTTCACGCAAACCTGCACTGCATTACCAGACAGCGACAACATAATTATGACAACAGGAAAAGCAGATATGATGTTTACTGTAATGAATTATCTACTTTCAGCACGCTTCAACGGTGTGCAAATAGTTTTTTCATCATACATACAGCTAATGAGAAGCTGTGGCTGACTGGTAGGCATGAAAATCACATTAAATAATATTTAACATTACAGCAGCAGTGTAAAGTAAATGTGAGTCGAGGCAAATGAGCTAAAACACTGGCATGGTCATGCAAGTACACATTTTACTTGCAAAAATGTGTACTTAAGTAACATGAGTACGCACACATACGCACCACGTTTACATGATTAATGTGCAGCCCTAAGTGCAGATGGCCACATAGGTTTTCAGTAACAGTGCAGCTCACACTTTAGCATTGTCACTGTGACAGAAAACCATCATGACACATTTCATCTGTCATTATAGGAGACTGCAAGTTACTGAGGGTGTGTGTGTGTGTACATGGTGGGGTAGTTAGAAGTAGTCTCTTCTTCGTGAATCATCACTAATGAAGGAGGGGTTCCACTGGGCGGGGTAGATGCACGAGTGGCGAGAGCCCGGCAGACCCGTGAACGGGTATAGGCCATTTCTCTCCAGGTCTGAATTGCGCAGCGCAGGCTGAGGGATCAGGCACAGACAGAGAGAAAACTAACTTTATGATGTTTTTAACTGACAGTTGTCTCTAAGATAGTGATCACTTCTATCTAAGCATTCAAAACCTAACATGGAGAAGAAAGACAAATGTAAGAGTGAGGGGAAAAAAGAGGTGCATTAAAAGTTTCCTTACAGAATAGTAAATATCAGACATCTGCAGCAGGTTCTTGGTGCTGCCGTTCTCTTGCATCTCTATGGTCTCTCTGCCCCACTCCATAGAAATGCGGTTATTTTTGGGAAAGTCTGCGTACGGGGACATCTGCAGGTCTCCACTCTTGAAGATTATCTTGTTGATGTCATTCTTATCTTTCCTGGGACATTAAACATAAAAACATGAAACCTTTGCCACAGTTTACTGAAACAGTTTTTTGTCAACAAACCATTCAAATTATTATTTTTTTGTGAACTATGGGAATTGATCCTTGAAGTTATTCAGTAATCAGAGATCATTTAGTTCAGTATTGTTTCATCAGCTTTGAAATAGGGTAAAATGTGATTACTGCACCAATATAGAGAAAATGTCAGTTTTATTTAACAAGAGAATTAACTACTAAAACAAGGAGGGTGGTTTGTAACAATATATCAGTAGTCTTACTTGCAGCAGGTAACAATGAGAGCGATAATGAGGATGAGGAGCAGGGCACCCCCTGCAGGTGACACCACGACTGCAATCAGCTTATAAACTGCAATGCCAAAAAACAACATATTCAATACTACATTTAAAAAACACTTGAAGGTCACAATGGGAAATTGCTGAATCTTTTGTTAAAGTTGATTAATACCGGCCTCTTAAGGGGTTTTTACAGCCACTTACAATTTCCACAGTTGAATCCTCCAAATCCAAACATACACCTGACAAAAGAAACACAATCTGCAGTGAGAATATGGTCTTAAATCTTCTATATAACTGCACTGACACTGTAAGGGGGGCAAAAAAAAACAAGTTGAACTTACGAGACACAGGTACCGTTTTCTAGCTTGTAGCCATCACCACATTCTGAAACAAGATATTGTTTCAAAAAAACTTCCAACTACACAGTTTGGTATAAGACGCTCTAAAGCCAGAATGTTGTGTTTCTTTCATTTCGATGATTTCATATGGATTTCAGAAAAATCTACTTCTAATGAAAGAAAATCTTTTTTGTTGTTGTTACCTAGGTTTTAGGTGTAAACTATAGTAGAACATTTTAATTAGATCCAATATGTTTATTCATCTGTCTAGTTTCTGTTATTTCTGTATTAAGTTACTGAAAATGACACATGCACTCACAATAAGTAGCTGGGTAGTTTTTAGAACCAGTACTCTGTACGCATAAGCATAAAAACTAAGCGAGAGAAAGAGCTTACCTAGGCAGGACAAGTCATCGGGATTGTGTTTGTAGTAGCCTTGAAGACACTGGCAATAGGCTGTGCCATTTTCGTCTGCGCAGGTGGAACGCTCTGTATCACACCGAGTCTGCTGGGCCACACATAGACTCTCCGCTGAAAGACAGTGTGGACAGAATTAAGTCATGACAGGAACAACACAGGAATCTGAACAACAGGAGAAGTCGAAGTCAGAAAACATCAAACATTTGGTTCCTTGTTTCTCCTAAATCTCCCATATGTTATGGTACTGCACTACTGTTCTTTGGTGTTGTATAATATTTACTGACATTTTTAAGGTTCAACTATGTAAAACTTTCATAAAAGTATCATGGAACCTTTCATAGGGGAGCATTCACAGGTAAATTCTGCCCTCTAGCAGCTGTTCACAGAATTAGTTTTGGCAGTGGACCCTTAAGGGGTTTCACTGAAAACTCTGGTTAACAGAAGGAAATAAGCAGGACTGTTTTCATTACAGTATGGCTATGGCTGTTATATACCATGATAAGTGATCTGGTGGTGCAGGACCATTCGGCAGTGGGCCAACGAGGAGCTGCAGTTACTGAGAGACATCTGGATGCTGCTGTAGACCTCAGCACTGGTCACATCGGCAGAAATGGAAAACATGTTGACAGCTAAGATACGAACCCCGTCCTCCTCTCTGTGGGGAGGAGGTCAGAGGTCAGTGCACAGGTCTATGCCGACAATATTTCCAAGATGTATCATTTATTCTCAAACATAGTGCAATCCTGACCCAAAAACCTGTTTTCATTTTAGATTCTGTAATAAATGGTGTTGGTTTCTTGACAAATGGGGAAAAAGTCAATCTTATAGTATGAAGATCTTTTTTTTAAGCTGATTTGAACTTCTTCCTTTAACTTCTTGTTCCTTTTGTGATTTTAAAACTAGATCAAGGCATTATTGAAAATTTACAGGAATGCAAATGGTCAGTGGCTGCAAGAACTTACTTCTTACTCAGAGTAGAGCGGCTGTAACCTCGGAGGACTGACAATGAGGCATTGAGCTGCAGTGAAGACAGGAAGAGATTGTAGATCAGATGGAATACACATAAACCTAGAGAAGATTTTCTCAAAAAAGCGACGCAGTGATGTGGACCGTCTCTCACCAGCTGCATAATCTCTCTCTGAATCTCATGCATGGTGGCACTCTTGAAGATAACAGGGTCGTGTGGCTGCCTGTTAACATGGAATGTTCCCAGAAATGTCTTTGCTATGGAGGGGGAAAAAAAACAAATTAAGCCTGTTGAGAACATAACTTTGACTAGAGAAACAATAATTCATATATACTGTATTTATATATCTTAAGATTTTACCTCTGGTGCAGGTGCGTCCATCCTCGAGGTCGAAGCCAAGTGGACATTCACAGCTGAAAGAGCCTCGTGTGTTCACACACCTGGAACCAACTGGACAGGGGTCTCTCTCACATTCATCCATATCTGGACACACAGTACATGCAGGTATTACTGTTTTACATTTAAAAGATCTGAATCCAAATCTCAACCCTCAGAACAGTGTGAAAATAATTTTTCATAATTAAATATTTTTATACTTTTCATGCTTGAGTGCACTGAAACACAAAACCGGAGGCAGCACAATGTTGTTATCAAATTGTCAGGAAAAAGAGAAGTGAAGCTCACCCTGGTTGCAGGTCGGCCCTGTCCATGCCTGCTGACAGTGACAGGTGAAGTGATGGCCTTTATAGCTCACACACATCCCGCCGTTCATACAGGGGTTTGACACACAGGGGTTTCCTGGAATTCAGAGAGGAGAGCAAACATTTAAAACCAAAAAATTAAACACTGACACAGAACATAAAAGAAATAAAGGCCTTATCTTAAATACCTTATGTTTGATATGTCTTAGTTTGTCAGGTCAAACTCTCCAGCACATGTACTGATGTATTTTTTACATTTACATATGTAAATAAAAATGTATTTGCTAGAATAAACACCAACAATCACCACAGCTCACCAAAGAAAAAAGAGACTCAGAGTAGCCAGGAGAAATGTATATCAGAGTGTCACCTGCCGTGAAAGAAGAGGGTGGACTCACTTGGTAGTGATGGTGCTTTGGTGGCTTGGATGCCAGCGGGTGATGTTGTTATCACTGGCTCTGTGGTTTCCCTGTCTGTCTGTTTCCCAGTGGTGTGCACAGCCTCTGTACTGCTGGTTGGGGTTCTGTGGGTGTAGGTGGTGGTGATGTAGGGGCTGTGGGCTGTGGTAACTCCCAGAGTGCCTGTGCTTGTTTCTATCTGTAGAGTGGTGACGGTCGTGGGGTTAGCAGTCCCTACTGAGGGGCCCTGGGTTTGGCTAGGTGACACACGTTGAGTTGGGTATGCTGCAGAGGTCTGCAAGGCCGGGGTGGAGATGGAGGTTATGGTAGAGGGTGTAGTGTATGGGATGCTGGCTTCGGTAGGTGACTCTGGAGTAGAGCTGCTAGTGGTGCTGCTAAACCTGGAGGACGAGGTTGCGGGTAGAGGAAGGGTGGTTGTGGTGGTGGAGGCACCAGGTTTGAAAATATCTTGCTCAGTTGTCTGTGACCTGTGAAAGAGAAAACAAATTATTCAAGCAGCAAACAGACTCCTGAAAAGAAGAGAGAATATAAGAACCATATCTATTTTTACAACATCAACTAGTTCATCTTTGGACAATGTTACTGATCACTCAGCAAAGTGAAAGCTGAAGTGTCACATGGAGGCACTGATGGCAGCTTGTCACACTACCAGAATCCCACTGCGCTACACGTACCTTTCTGTAACGGTCACAGGTGTGGTGGTGAGGATGCCTGTAGTAACCAGCACTGGTCTCTCTGTCAGAGAGTCATCAATTTCAAATGTACTGCTACTGACTGTAGGGGATGCTGTGGTCAGACCCAAGTCCACACTGTCCTCTCTGGTCTGGTATGAAAGAACCTCAGTGCCCTCCTGGATCTGAGTGCTGGAGCTGTGGCCTGCAGCAAAAGACTCGGTGGAGGTTCCAACATTATAGTCCTGCTGGTTGGTCCCTGAGATGTTGGTTGGACTTCCTGCAGTTAAGGTGACAGGAGGTGTGGAAGAAACCGACACTTCATATTGGCCAGTGATGGGCTCCGTCACACTGAGAGGTGGTGTCGAGTCAGAGGTCTCCTCTAATGTGGAGGTCTGATGATGCTGGGTGGCGTTATGTGCTGCGGTTAAACTCTCGGTTCCTCTGGACTCTGCTGGGCCTCCGGTCTCTGAAGCCATCCTGTTGAAGGAGTGGGTCATGTGCTGGTCTGCTGGGCCTCCGGTCTCTGAGGCCATCCAGCTGAAGGAGTGGGTCATGTGTTGGTCTGTTGTGTCCCCGCTGTCTGTCCTGGTGGATGGTGCACTATGAGTGTAGTCCTCAGTCTCTGTAGCCCTAGCACGAACATCCCAGGTAGAGGGTGGCTGATGGTAGTTGGAGTCTTCTGTAAATACAGAGGTGGTGCTGTTGCTGGATGAAGAAGTGACAGACCGCAGAGTCCTCTCCCCAGCTCGGCTGACGACGGTGGAAATATAGGTGCTGTTAGTGAGGACGGCTGTTTGTGATGCAAAGGCTGTTGTATCCCCCAGTTGGAAGGTGGTGCCTGGGCTGTCCTGGGGCAGGCGGGTGTCCTCTGTAAACACTGAAGGCCTGGCCTCCTGAGACACAGCATGGGAGACATCTGGTACCTGGTCTGTGTTCATAAAGCCCTTCCAGTCACTGCTGCTGCTACTGCTGGCCTCAGTGGTGGCTACAACAAGGGTGGAGGTGAGTGGCGCAGTAGACAGACTCATGGTTTCTATTGATCTGCTGCTTGTTTCTGTGAAGGTTTGTGTCTGCTCAGTGTCTGTGGAAAAAAAAAAGATAAAATTTGTGTTCAGGTAAAAGCCACTGTTATTTCTGTTACACACTGTTAGTTAGTGCTGCAACAGCAAGTTTATTAGTTCAGATAATTAATCAGCAACTATTTTGAAATGATTTTTCTTCCCCCGAGCCGTCACTCTGATAAACGCCAATAAAGCTGATTCTGATTCCGATTTTGATTATTACTGATAATATATTGGGGTTTTCCCCCTTTGTATGACCAAAACAAAAAAACTTTTAATATGAGGGTCTCCCTAACCACTTGGCTGGCATGCAATTCTTCTTATTCAAAAAACATGTTTAGAACAAAACTCATGGTGTTCGAAGTGTTTCTCTTTATCTTTCTCAGCATCATTTTACTTCACTTCCATTGTGCTGTGGCCACCAGAGGGTGCTCGCAAGGCGTGTTCAGCCTGCAGTGACTGGGAAGATGCTGTTAGAAGCACTGTATCTTCCTGCAGGGGCAGTGATTTTAGGTGGAGGACAACTGGCAGCCAGGCTTGCCGGCTAACAAAGGCTTTAAGTCCTAAATATGGTGGCGACCGTCTCTGTTGGGAATCAGCCACTTCCTTCCTAAAGCTGAGTTAGCACAAGGCACTGCCAAATAAACTGTTACCATGGGTCTGGGTGTGTATTCATGTTCAGTGTCTATGAAGTTTTGTTTTTTAGTCTGGCTCAAAATTGCTGTCAAGTTAAATAAGCTACCCAAACACTTCCAGCTGTGAAATGCTGCAGAAAAATGTTATCGTGTACAGTGCAAGGATTGCTGTTCTATAAATATACTGCTCAAAAAAATTAAGGGGAACTTGATCATCACAGTATAACACTAAGTCAGTTATACTTAGGGACATCACTCTGTCATTTAGGAGGCATAAGAGACTGAATCAGTTTCACCTGCTTTGGTGCAAATGAAAGTGACAAGTGCAATGGAGAGGCAAAAGCAAGACAACCCCTAAGGTTTGCTGTGTTTCCCAGTACAGTTTCAAGAACATGGATGAGATACCAGGAGACCAGCCGTTACACGAGAGCTGGACAGGGCTGTAGAACGGCAACAATCTGACAGCAGGACTGATATCTGCTCCTTTGTGCAAGGAGGAACAGGAGGAGCACTGTGAGAGCCCTACAAAATGAACTCCAGGAGCTACTGGAGCTACTGACCAAACTGTCAGAAACAGACTCCATGAGGGTGGCACGAGGGCCGGACATCCTCTAGTACAACCTGTGCTCACAGCCCAGCACCTTGTAGCTCGACTGGCATTCACCAGAGAACACCACCACTAGTGCCCCGTTCTCTTCAAGATGAGAGCAGGTTCACACTGAGCACACATGACAGGCATGAAAGAGTCAGGCGACGCCACGGCCAACATTATGCTGCCTGTATCATCACTGAGCATGACCAATTTGGTGGTGGGCCAGTGATGGTCTGGGGAGGCATATTTTTAGAGGTCTGCACAGACCTCCACGTCATAGCCAAAAGTACCCTGACTGCTGTGAGGTACCAGGATGAAATCCTCAGAGCGACTGTCAGACCTTACACTGGTGCCATGGACCCTGGGTTCCTCCTGGTGCAGGACAATGCCCGGTCTCATGTGGCCAGAGTGTGTAGGCAGTTCCTGGATGACGATGGAGTTGATTGGTCCTCATGTTCCCCTGACCTAAATCCAATTAAGGCACCTGTGGGACATTATGTATCAGTGCATCTAATGCCACCAAGTACCACCACAGACTGTCCAGGAGCTCACTGATGCCCTGATCCATGTCTGGGAGGAGATCCCCCAGGACACCATCTCATGACTTATTAAGACGCATGCCCAGACACTGTTGGGAGCATATACAGGTATGAGAGGACCATACACACTTCTGAGTCACATTATGAGTTGCAGTGATGAAATTCACGCTACTTGGATGATCCTGTGATTTCAATTGTTACTTTTATTTTCAGTGTAGTTTTGAATAGAGCCTCCATGGGCTTGATTTTGGTTAAAAGCAGGAAAAAAACTTCATACACTGTGTTAAGCTCCCAATAATTTAATTCAGTAGCAGCAATGTTTCGATCTATACAAGATCTTTGTCAGGCATTATCAAACAGACATCACACTGAAAGGCACATTTTTATGTGCACCTACTAAGACAACACTCAGGTGTTTCCACTCCGATAACACAATCCGCTCGTAAAAGGAACCAGTGAGGACATAACTAAAATACGCTGTCCGAAAACTCCCCACCGAAGGAGCAAAAGTCATCAACATGGGCGGAACAATCAAAAAGGCAAATACAGTATAGAAAACAATCACAAAAATATCAAACAAAAGCAATCACAAGATTTAAAAAAGGGAAAGAAATCCTATTTAAAACCTTTTCACACTTCATGTAGTCATTTTATCCTAGTGAGCATCTGTGAACTGAATAGAAGTCAAGTATCAATGAGAAAAAAAAGGCCACTGGGTACCGAGGCTGTGTGTCGGGGTCTACCTCTGACCCTAAGGTTTTCCTCACTGATGCTGCGCTAACAGTCGGCTATCTGGCTCTTCTCCAGCTGCCCAGGACTGGAACAACAGCACTCTGAGGATGAGCGTCAGTGCTGGACAGCTTCCTACCAGCTAACACAGTGACCAGCAGCCACCATCCAAAACTGGTGGAAGGAGAGTTCAACTGCAGTGCAGCCCATCCACCGGGAGTCTACGAGGAGAACTGGGCCACTGGACTCTAGTTTGCTCTCACACTTCCTCTGCATGTGTCTCTCTCCCTCTTTCATTTTCTCTTTCTGGATCCAGTCCGAGCAGCAACACTCAGACTGGAACGTGGTGTTGGCAACAAGTGCAGGACACTCCCAGAGTCTCTGCTGTTTATCCCTCAGCTCTCAGCTGCTGACACAGTTGTCGCTGTGGTCTTTTCACATGTGTTATAGCACAGAAAGACTGGCTTGCATATTAATTTAAATATATACAGTGTTGGGAATAAACAGGTTTATATTATATTGCCATCAGGTTAAACAGTGTTTGCTGATGAGGATTTTTACCAATGTTGAGCCATGTTTGAGACTCACAGCTCTGTCACCAGATGACTGCGACCTGAATACCTTAGACAGGAAAGGTGAATCGGGGCGAAATCTGGGTGAGGAAAGTGAATCATTTCCACTTTCATTCTTCAGCAGCATCTATGCCTCTGAGCAAAGCATGTGGTCCTCAGATTGTTTCAGTGGAAGTGCAGGCCAGCACCCAGCACAATTGTGTAACTGTGTGAATCAACAATGACTGAAATCAAGCCAAACCTCATTTGGGCAAATAAAATTCAAAAAGACATCTTCAGAATTTCTAGTAGCCTGCCACAAACAAAACAAGTCATCACTGACATTAATGTAAGATTAAGATGTACACATGCAACGAAAGACAAACTCCTCAAATTAATAAATGTATCACTGAAGTATAGCAGCATATCGGGCGATCTTGGAGACCATCACCGATGTCTAATGACTTTCATTTTTATTTTAAGGATTTACTTACCTTTTCTGCCTCATTTTTATTCACAATTTGCTATGTAATGCTATGTTAATAATCAGGAGGATCTGACAGCAACTGCATGTTTGTCATTTTGAGACCATAAATAGGCAACAGTGTTGATATGAGTAGCACTGCAGAAACCTACCAATGCATTAACATGTAGAGCTCTGTGCTGATGGGCTAAAGGTCTCAGTCATTACTGGATGTTTTATGGTACTTTTTTTTTGTATCATGCTTGCCAGTGATTGCGTAATGCATTCTGATATTCCAAATACACTGTCAGAAAGTTGTTCATGTGTACTTTGAATTGAAAGCCTCCTACATTTTGCTTCCAGCACAACAGGACTATCTGAAAGGCCACAATAACTTTCCTAAAAAATACATAATTTAAAGCACTTTATTCGACAAGTATTTTGTCTGTAATTCATTCAAGCCTATATCACAGCGGTATAGGGATAGTTTGAGACAAGTTACCCTAAAACTACAGACCATATTTTGGAATACAGCTTCTATCATAAACTGCAAAGGGTTTCTTCTTATACCTTGATGGTTGATACTGAGCATCGGGCATAAAACGTTCTTAAACCTGGATTGAGCTCATCAGATGAACTCTGTTCCACATTCTGTGCATGTAGCAAGACCATGCAGCTCTGCTGTCTTTGACAAGCACAGGATGCTGAGTTCAATCTCCTGTGTGAGCTGCTGAACAAACGTGAAGCCTTTCTGTGGCAACGGCAACACCTCAGCTTAAACAGGAAACCAGCAAAGGTGTTTATTGTGAGCTAGGATGCTGATCAGATGAGACGTGAAACTGGTGAACCACATTTATGGACTAGTAATTGCCTTCTGACGATTTGAAGAGGTGGGAATATTTCTAATGAAGAATCAAAGTAGACCGTATTAACGTGGGTTTACCCTCCTCTATATCAAAATCTCAGGTCTAAGTACACAGTTACATGAGCCTTCAAAGCACATTTTACACTAAAGTAAAACCAAAGCAAAATTTCCAACTGTTTTGATAATGGATTCATTTTAAAGGTTATTTTTAAAAGCAGAAATGCCATAAGGCCACAGCTTCTCAAATGTAAGTGGGTTTTCTCAGTGTTCTGTGATAGTAAATTAAATACATTTGAGTTTTCAACTGTTGGTTGAACAATATAGACAAACTGAACGTCAACCAAGGCTTAAGAATGATGGGCTTTTTTTTACAATTACCCACAATCTATGGACCAAGCACATTAATCAATCAAGAAAATATACATATATAAATCTATAATGAGTAGGTTATAGATGTAGTTAGAGCCATATACTGAGGCAAACGGAACAAAAAGAGTTGTTTCATGTCACTTCAACTAGGAGGAATAACAGTTCAATTCATGTGGTACAGTTAATCTGTTCATTAGTAATTCTACTACTCCACATCAGGATACACTAAAAAAATGTCCACTCTAGATATCTTTTAACTTGGGGATGACTGCTATCCTACACAAACTTCTGAGAGAGATCTCTAATTGTTTTTATACATTAGCTTTGCTGTTGCATTTCTATTGTTTCCCCCAGCTACAGTTCATTTTAACAGGGTGAAACTCAGCCTTTTCATACAAGATGATGAGGGAGGTCTGCAAATTGAACTAACATTTGTCTATAAAGTTACACTTGTCCCTGCAGCCCTCAGTGACAGTGATCTTACCATGGGCATCAATAGACCCCTTTTGCTGGGGCATGTGTCCCAGTATTGATCTGCTGTGCCCCATTAAAGCACACATTTGAGTTTTTACAAGCTATGATCAATTGGACTACTCTTAAGACACTATTTATTGGTGTAAGAATGCATAATACACCACATGTAGCAGTCTACTGGACTATTCATTCTGCCTATAACATATTTGATGCTCTTGTCACACAGTCCAAATATTGTTTGTTTTATGCATTTTTAATAAAATCGTGAATCTGAGGTAGGAAAGGAAAGTATGGAGGAAGCTGTCTGTGTCAATGGAGACAAATGTGTGACCACCAGCCATCTACTGCACAATACAAGTTCATAATAATTGGAGCATGGGTATGTTATGTGGCCTTATGAGTTACAAAAAAGAACAACTGCATTTTTCTTTAAATTATTTGTTGATAGATTAATTTGTTGTGAAAGCTGAAATTTGAGAATCAAACTGCGGCTGATTGACAATCGATTTATTGTAAAATGCAAACAAATGCAAAGAAATGTGCAATACAGGGCCAGACCTTTACGTCATAAACCAGGTTGAAAATGTTCTTAATGTATGTTAAAATATTTTTATAAACATTAATATAAATACCTTTACCAGTAGTTGTTGTAGCAGCAGCAGTATGGCAGTGGAATAGTGGACTAAGCATGGTAAGTTAACATAGCACATTTCGTTTATGCAGTAAACATTCAAGGGAAAAAAAAAGTGTGATTTGAGTAATGGGGGGACTGTGCCCCAGTAGAGCTCGATGTCTAGAAACGCCCCTGGATCTTACCGAAGTTTCCAGCAGGAGCAGTGTGTGTGAGCAGAAGGTTTCTCTGAGAGGGTGATAAACTGTCGCTGGAGTGAAAAGATGAAGTTGCATTACTGTCAGTGCTACTGGGTTCATCTGTGGCTGTTGAATAATAAAATCCTGATGTTATGGGATCCGTGCTGTTGTTACTGGGGGTCCCTGCCCCGAGGGGCCCCGGCAGAGCCAGCAGGAGGACCGACAGAGACAACCCGAGGACGTGATTCCAGAACCACGTTTCCATGATTTTCAAGACCCCCAAACGGTCGCAGATAGTTTCCGTAAAGTCGCGTGAATGCCAGGGAGTCTTCGTTGGACACCATGGGAGGAGCACGTCGGCTCTTAGTGGAGTTTCATGAGAAATAAATAAATCCTGGATCCGGTCCAGAGGAGAGCCGCAGCTCGGACAGCGGACAACGGAAGATAACAGAGTGGAAGCAGCGGGCTGTTATCACGGTGGAGGAGCTCGGGCTCCTCCTCCTGCACACGCACACGCACATGCACACACGTCCCCGTTATTCAACCCAGTTAACTTCCTTTGCTGCTTTCAGGTGTTGTCGGAAGTCCTGCCGTTAAAAAAAGTGGAAATGTTCCTTTTCCAGCCCTGAGAAGTCAGTGCTCCAGAGAGTGGAGAATTATCAGACACAGAATCACAATGTAGCCCATCATTACCACTGAAATAAAGAGCAAAATTAGAAATTATGTAGTTTGGTAGGCTACAGAATTTAAAAATTCCATAACTGAAAACTTCAAGTGAACTCTTAGGAGACAACTAGACTATGACTTCTGATGTACCCAGTGATCATTTAGAAAAATCTGCCTGAACTGACCTACAGAGACTCAGCCTAACACAGGTGCCTGTCATTAGACATGACTTGCCTGCCTGATGGGAGGCCCTGCTCAGACCAAGAGCTACCTGTCAGCTGCTTGTTTAAGATTCCCCTTAACCTTCACCTTCCAGAGGCTGAAGGTTACCTGTCACATGATGAAATTTGAAGAATTTAGTTCCATGTTCCAGCATTTAAATATTTACAGATCAATCTAATGAGAAGCCCATAATGAAATGTTATATAGAGAATCTAAGTAAATATTTTACTCCAAACATTGCAACATCACTGTTTTGAAGGAAACTGGGTAGCAGTGACTGCACCTCAGGAGACTCTGTAAAAATACTGAAGTTTGCAGACGACACAACGTTCACACAACATTCAAGATGGTGATGAGTCTTCCTACAAACAGGAGGTTGAACAGCTGGCTCTGTGGTGTGGTCGTCTTCCACATGGAAGACAGTGGAGATGACAGTGGATTTTAGGAGGAACTCCCCTACCCTATCTCCGTTTACTATACTCAGCAGCTCTGTTTCAGTCGTGGAGTCCTATAGGTTCCTGGGCTCCACAATCTCTCAGGACTTGAAGTGGACAACCAATATCAGCACCACCATCAAGAAGGCACAGCAGAGGATGTACTTTCTGCATCAGCTCAGGAAGTTCAACCTGCCTCAGGAGCTGCTGATTCAACTCTATAGGGGAATCATCAAGTCTCTGTCTGGTTTGGCTCAGCAACCAAACAGGACCGGAACAGACTCCAGTGGACAGTCAGGACTGCAGAGAAAATCATGGTGATCATCTGCCCTCCATGGAGGACCTGTACACCTCACAGGTCAAAAGGAGGGCAGAGAGGATTTCTGTTGACCCCTCACACTCTGGACACAAACTCTTTGAACTCCTCCACTCTGGACGGTGCTACAGGTCACTGTGCACCAACACAGACAGTTTCTTCCCCCAGGCTATTAAACTCATGAACAGCCAGTACATGTTGCTCTTTTAACTTGTATATATTTATTCTGTTTTTATGTCTCCTGATCCTGGTTTAATATTTTCTGCATTAAGTCTCGAATTTTACTAAAAAACAATAAACTGTATACATGCAGACATGAGCTTAAATATTTTATTTAAACCTTTGTGTCACATGTACACATGATGTTTTTTCCACAGGAGCAGCGTGGAGGCTGGACCTCATAGAAGTGACCCAGAAATACAGAAATCTGATGACAAAGCCTTCTAATAGTGGAGAGCTTCATAGACTGTTATATTTCAAAGTTAAAGCCCTAAAGCTAAAAAGACAATAAATACTTATATTTTAATTCAGTTTACTTTTATAGAAAAAAATTTCTTCTAACTCGAGCATTCAGTCAGCATTTCTCTCTTTCATTTCTTCAGACACACTTAGAAAAAGTTCAGATTTCCTCCAACCACCACAACAAAACAGTCGGAGTGTGTCTGTTGTTTGCGTGCAGAATGTAGCCCATTTGGCGACATGAGGCAGGAAGTGTGGTTTCAGGCTGTCATTTAACTGAGGTAGTGCCAATCAGTGGAGCGGTGGCTGCACCATCTTGTCAGCCCCGATGAGCGAAGATTGGTGACAGCGGTGACGAGAGGCAAAGTCACTGTTTTCCTCTGTCAGCTGTTTGGTTTGGACCCCGACCCCGAGCAGAGAAGGTGTCACTACGATCTCATCCCGGGGAGCCACATTCCTTCTGAAAGACAGTTGGAGACATAGGACTCAGATGACAGCGTGACATTGGAAATTATCATATATCTTTTAAAAAAACCCAAACATTTACAAGTTTAACATACTTACAAAACAAAAGAAATTGGAGTGAAAAATCAGTTTTAGTCTGTGCTTTATCAATGATCTGAACAGATACATTTCATCAATGAATGATATTTAAATACTGTATTTTATCTGTCACTCATTCTTATGAACCGATTCCTGAATTCCTGACTGACCATTTTGGAATATAGCCACACTGTTCTGCCCTGGCTGTTAAATCAAGCACAGCTATGCAGACAAACTCCCAGACAGATGGCAGGTGTATTTTCTTTTTATTAAGAAGCTTCCTTCACATGTCCATAAGAAGTGAAACTGAAATAAATAACTTCTCCCAGGTACTTAACTGTAGCATGTAGCACACTAGCATCACATTCTATGTGAACATATATAAGAGATCATTCAAATAAATGCAAAGAGACTGCAAATACATGCAGCCCATACATCAGCAGTATGCTCATAACACTACACAACAATCCCCAAACATATCCTGGATAATTCATGTAAACAGAAATTTGCAACACATTTGTCATCATCCTCATGCAAGAGGCTAAATGAATGTTAATACCAAGCTAAGTGTGGCTGCCATGCTGCTGTATTACCAACACAGAATGTCATCAACAGAAACCAGTCAAATGCTCGTAGCTACCAAGACGACCATTAATAATGTCGTTATAACATGACTGTGCTTACAGGTAATTTTTCTGTAAACAAAAAATGACGGCTGGGTGTAGCTTAAACTAAAACAATCTGAATTGTGTAGCCATTGCCCATAACTGAACATACATACATGACACACAAGGAAAGGAAGAACACAAACAAAGCATCCTCTGCTCATGAAAGTAAGCACAGCCAAAACACTTGCATAATACCTGAAGATGCTGATCAGTGTTGATTTGAGCCATGTGAAAAAGTTGAATCGAGCTGCAATACCTGCAATTAAATCAAAATCCAAACGGTTATTTGCTTGTCCTGTCTTTTTTTTTTTACCAGCACCGAAAAAAGCATATACAGTGCTGTCTCAGGTGTATTTAGGTTAATGGATGAGTGAATATGAAGCGAGGCAGTCACCTAGAGGTAGTCCAGGACTTGTTTTCCCAATGTAGAAGAAGAGCAGCAAGGCAACAACTATGTTTGCTAAGGCATAAACCCACTGAATAATAAACATGATCAGTACAGAGACCAATACCTGAAAGAAAACAAATGATATATTCACATTTGATTCTGTAAATGTTATTTGAAAATAAGCTATGAGAACAAAAAGAAATAATGTACAACATGCAATGTGTAACCAACCCCAGTAAGAGAAATCCAGTGGTTGTAGAACCTTGCATAGTCTGAATCCTGCACGAGTTTGATTTCAAAGCTCTGGTGCTCTGCATTACCTTCAGCAGCTGACAGATATAATAAAGAGCCAGGTTAGTAAAAACAGATACAACTACCGTCTATGATCTTGGCTTCTGTCTAGTCTAATTATTCATGGGTAAAGGGCATTACCTGTGCTGTGACTGTGAGGGTCAGCAGACGAACTCTGCTCAACACAACATGTTTTTGTATATTTGATTTGTGACTCTTTTCCAGCCCTGGGGTCCTCACTTCCATGCTGCACTTCAGTTTGCTCATATGGTGGAGCTAAACTTAACTCCTCACCTTTCTCTTCTGAGAATGCATTGCTGTTCTGGTCCATACCGAAACTCTCCATCAACTTCTGCTTTGGGGTAACCTTTCTGCTCTTGCATCGGCTGTTCAGGTCTTGCACTGAAGAGGGTTTCACAGGCCCAGCACCAAAGTTTGGAAAGATCTGATCCATGTCCTTGGTGAACTCCAATAACGTGCCTTTAGTCTGAGGACTCTCGCCTCTGCTTCCATAGTTGGGAGGAGCAGTTTCAATCAGCAGCCTGGAGCTCTGCCTGGTAGACCTGCGCTGGTTTCCTTTGGCCAGGATGGCAGTGTCCCTCTTCTCTTTACTCTGCAGCTGGAGAGTCATGGCCACACTGAAGTAGGAGTAGTCGATGATGCTGTAAGTGAGCATGAAGTTGATGGTGACAATGGGAGCCAGTACATTGACCTGTCCGATTAAGATGAAGGCCATGGTCAGCAGGCTAGTCAGACAGATGGCAGCCACTGGGGTCCTGTTTGGACCTTTCTGTTAGAGTGGAAGAAAGCACCACAGTGTACTGAGTGACATTTAGATTACATTTAATCAAGTTCAACACATATTCTACTCCACATTAAAAAGTAAAATGGTGGATAATTTGACTTAAGGATAATTAAATTATATAGTTGAATTAATAATACATTTATAATTAAAGACAAATAATACAAATAAAGAACAATAAGTAGCAGGATAAATAAATCTTAGCTAATTCTGGGCTATTGATTGCCTTTGGTTCTATTATGGCACTGGCTATATATGATTTTTGCTTGAAAATGACCAAACATTGTCAAAATGCAGGAAGAACGATCTCTGAACTAAAACGGTAACAGTAAACAAAACTCTTGGTGGATCTAATGACAAATTTGCTTTTGACACAACAAAATTCTTAGGTGAAGCATTAGGCTGGTGTTGTGTCTCAGGCAGTACAAGCCCCACCTTTTCCCTTTGACTAAGACACTTGTTACATTTACGACATCACCTCAAGACATCAAGCTATTTGTTTTATACAGTATTGTTCAAAATAATAGCAGTACAATGTGACTAACCAGATTAATCCAGGTTTTTAGTATATTTTTTATTGCTACATGGCAAACAAGTTACCAGTAGGTGCAGTAGATTCTCAGAAAGCAAACAAGACCCAGCATTCATGATATGCGCGCTCTTAAGGCTGTGCAATTGGGCAATTAGTTGAAAGGGGTGTGTTCAAAAAAA